AACCTCCCGCCTCTAGACTTGGCAAGGAAGAAAATTTATGTCAACTTTTTTTTTGTTTGTTTTTGTCTTTTTGAGACAGGGTCTCACTATGCAGAGAGCTCACTTTGGCCCAGGCTGGGCCAAAGTACACTTTGAGCTCACTTTGAGCTCACTTTGTAGCCCAGGCTGGCCTCAAATTCACAAGGATCCTCCTGCCTCAGCCTCTGGAGGGCTGGGATTACAGGCATGTGCCACCACACCTGGCTTGCAAATATATTTTAAATTTGCTTGCAGGGGCTGGGGATTTAGCTCAGTGGTACAGCGCCTTCCTGGCAAGTGCGGGGGCCCTGAGTTTGATTCCTGATACCAAAATAAATAAATAAATAAATAAAACAAGGATGGAAAGAAAATAAACAGGAGACAAATTGTCTAATCAATATAGGTGATTTAGCCTTTGACATGTAGTAATATAATGGTTATTGTTTTTGTTAGCCAGGGTCTGTCAGTGTAGTTGAGGTTGGTCTTGAAATTACTATGTAGCCCGGGCTGGCCTCAAACCTACTGCAATCCTTCTGCCTCAGCCTCTCCAGTACTGAGATTACAGGCATGTGTCACCACACCTGGCTCAGAAAGAGAACAGGCTTGTCAATCAGACTACAAAAGAGGTGGGTAGGAACAAAGCTATCTTGGCTGGGCAAAAACAACCAGATGGGAACTTGAATCCACAGGAACAATCGGAAATAGAAATGATAAGTAGCAAGGTTAGTGCAACAAACGTGTAATATGTACTTGTCTTTCAACTTCCTTTTTTTTTTTTTTTTTTTAGACAGGGTCACTATGCAGTTCAGGCTGGGCTTGAGTTCACTTTGTAGCCCAGGCTGGTCTCGAGCCCACAATAATCCTCCTGCCTCAGCCTCCTGAGTGCTGGGATTACAGGTGTGCGCCACCATGCCCGGCTGTTTATGGTTCTTGGAGACAGGGTCTTGCTTTGTAATTGAGCTACCCTTGAACTCACTATGGAGCCCAGGGTGGCCTCAAATTTATGGTGACCTTCCTACCTCAGCCTCCTGAGTGCTGGAATTACAGGTGTGCTCCACCACGCCTGCATGAAAATAAAATATATTATTAGAAATAGGAGGAACATTTTATAATGATAAAAGGATCCATCCTTTAGGAAGCTATAAACGTGTATATATGTCTAACAGCATAGGTCCAAAATGTGTGAAGTAAAAACTGGCAGAATGGAAAGGAGAAATAAACAGTTCAACGATAAGAACTGGACATTTAAATACTCAACTTGTAATAATGGGTACAACAACAAGGTAGCGAGCAAGTAAAGAAAGCTCAGTGTAATCTAGCCTGAACAGACACCCAATAACAGCAGATTGCACATTGCTTTTTCTTCTTGGTTTTTCTTGTTCTGCAGTACTGGGGACTAAATGGAGGGCCTTGCAAACACTTGGTAAGCACTCTATCACTCAGTTACACCCCAGCCCTATTTATTGTCTTTTTGAGGCAGGGTCTCGCTATGTAGTTCAGGCTGGCCTTGAGCTCACTTTGTAACCCAGGCTGGTCTCTAACTTGCCATGATCCTCCTGCCTCAGCCTCCCAAGTGCTGGGGTTACAGGCGTGTACCACCACACCCAGCTCAATGCATCAAAATTTAAGAGGGGTAGCTACCATAGTGCTTAGAAGAAATTTATAAATGTAAAAAACAATTCTAAAAAGAAGCAAGAACTCAGGGCTTGGGATACAGCTCAGCCGCATGGCACCTGCCTGGCAAGATCAAGGTCCTGAGTTCGATTCCCAGTTCAAAAAAGAAAAAAAAAAGCAAGAGCTCAAATCAGTAAACTGACTTCCCATTTTATGAAGCTAGGAAAAGAAGAGCAAAGTACAAGGAAGAAGAAAATAATAAAGAGTAGAGAAGAAAAAAAATTAGAGGTCAGGCATGGTGGCACATGCCTGTAATCCCAGCACTTGGGAAGCTGAGGCAGGAGAATCTCCAGGAGTTTAAGGTCAGCCTGAACTACAAAGAGAGATCCTGTCTCAAACAAACAAACAGACAAAAGTTAAATAGAGAAAAATGAAGACATGTTGATTCTGTGAGGAAAAACAAGAAATTGGAAAAGTCGTTGGCTCAGCTCATGGTGATGGCTTGAACGTGTGTGCCTTAACTCATTGTGAAGTTTAATTTCCACCATAACAGTACTAACAGGTGGCGTCTTTAGGTGCTTAGATCGGAAGGGCTCTGCCTTCATGAAGGAATTAGTGCGTCCAGTGGGGAGAGTGGGTCAGTTTTTGTAAGAGTGGGTTCCTGACAAAAATGCTGAATCCTGCTTGACCCGCCCTCTGGCTCAGGTGCGTGTGTGTCCTTCCGCCGGGGCTCCTGCCAGGTGCTGATGCCCGGCTCTTAGACGTCCCAGCCTCCGGAATCGTGAGCCAAATAAACTTCCAATTGTTTATAAATTGCCCAGTCTGTAGTATTCTGCTATAGCATCAAAAGGCAGACTAAAGGGCCAGGCGTGGTGGCGCACGCCTGTAATCTCAGCACTTAGGAGGCTGA